GTGTGTGTGTGTGTGTGTGTGTGTGTGTGTGTGTGTGTGTGTGTCAGTGCATGAAAGAAAGCCCATATTGATGCATCTCAGTCAGACAGTGTGGGTGTATTTCATTCTTTGAGTCGTAATTTCTTTCCTCAGCTATTTTCCCATTAAAATACCTGTTCTTTTGCAAACAAAGCGTTCATTTTCAGTGTTTGTTTTACCCGTCACTAAAAAAAATGTGTGGTTTGACTGTGGAGAAGAAAGAAAATGGTGTAATTTATCTGTTCCTTTAATTTGAAATACTGTACATGTCTGTGTCTGCATGCATGTATAAGCCTATGTAACTTTGTACACTGAATAAAATATGTGCTTTAGGTCATCCAGTGCTTGTTGTGGGAGTGTCTCTCCTGTGTGAGTCGGTAACATCTGTCAACCGCTTCACTTATTGTGTGTCGGTAATGCCCCCGCATAGCCAATCCGTCTGTTTGTTCATTCAGCAGGTGAATGGTTAAAATGCCGCCTTTTTTTCTCCCAGTGATTGTGAATAGAAAAGAGGATGACTCAGGAGGGTACACAATAACTCCAGTCTCCAGCTTCATTGCGGCCAGTTCACAGAGAGCATAATCCAGTTGGAGGAAGAGATTAACCAGAGACACTTGTGCTTTTTGGCGGTCCCTGTTTGGTCTTGAGCTTCACTGTGGGGACACTTGAGTGGAACAGCTTTAAGGAAATCAGGTGTTTCACCGTGAACCTGCAATGCCACTTAGAACACCCCCTCCCTGGGSGGGGGACCAACAAATGGACGGATAAAGAGCCCCGGTGGATCTGTCCACCCACTCTGTGTTCCTTTGATCCTCAGAGAAGGAAAGCATGATGGAGGACAGGGTGAGAGAAAAAGGACCGAGGTGTGAGGAGCAGATGGCTGGAAGGCGGCTGAGCGTTGGCGAAACAGTAATGTTGATGGAGAACACACGAGGAACGGACCTCGGTGAAGGAAACAGAGATCGTCTGTTCAGTGCTAAAGTTACAGGCTCAGCGGTGAAGTCTGGGTCTTCAGGCTTTGCAGGTCGATGCTCTCATGACGCTGCTGTGCCTCTGAAGTTRAACTGCCAAAATCTTTTCCGTTTGCGTTTGCCAGAATTTGTTCTGTAGGCATGCGTGGATCATAATAATGTTCTATTCTTGTCTTTTGTTACCAGTAGGCTTTTCAGAGTTGAATGCAGAAGGGAGGTGGAATAATATAACCCTACAGGCATGTAATAAAACTGAATGAAAGCTGGCATTTGATTGTTGACCATGTAGTTGCATACTACACTGCAGACCTTACTGCTAAGGATTATCAAAATAGTGGCATTTAACTTTAGGTCATAAAACTCTATTTATACACGGAATATATAGACTTCTGACCGGAACCAGGAAGCTGAAGTCAGAACGAAACCAAATTTCCTGACAGACTGGTACAAGTTTTAAGTCCCACCCCGGGAAATTAAAAATAAAAAACAACACCTTAGATAATTATTTTTAGGTGTTGATTCTTGTTGCTTTATGTTCAAAAATATGTTTTCTTGTAAATTAAGTTATATTACTGTAAGTTCTTTCATGCTGAGAGAGGTGGGACTTAAAGTTTCATATCATTAGTGCACAGACTCTGGTTACAAAACACAGCATGGCTTCCCTTAAACTAGATCCTGCTGGGTTCATCTCAGCAACAATAGAAGGCAGGGATGTTTATATACAACATATACCTTCTTTATGGTGCTACTATTTGGACTGAAGTGTTGTTGCTGAAAAGGTAAAGTTTGTGTACAACCTTGCAGATAATCGTGAGTAACTAATTTAAATATTCCTCTGATTTTTGTTTTTATTTTGTAAATGCTAACTCACTGCCTCACAGTGATGAATCTAAGACAGATCAGCAATACAAGTTTTTTTCTTAAGTGGCAAAATGGGGCAAGAAGTTCTGACATAAKGTACTGTCACATGAAAATTTACTTTTGATTGATTCAACTGAGTTATCTATCAACACTTCACTGTTTGCTATTTGTCAACGTTTTCCTGTTTTCATCAGATTCATTGATGACTCGTATTTAGACCATTATTTTGACAATAGGGAGGTCTTGAAATMATTTCAAAATTTCCAAGTTCGTTGGCGGGTAAATCCATGTTGAAATTCAAGCAAGTGCAAATTCGTAATCTGTGAGTAAGAATGGGGATTAAAGTTCTGTGGAGATGTCTTTGACTTTCAACACTGTGCAAAATGTCCAAATATATGTTGGCCAGTAAATAGTGATGGCAACAAGGGTGGCAAGATATTTTTTCCAGTGGCAGCAGACACTTTGTGGCGCCCCCTAGAACTGCCCCTGCTGCATTTTAAGAGTTTGAATCCAGCTTTGTATTAGAGAAACACTTTTTTTTTTCACTTTCAAATACAGCCCTTTTGTGTGAAATCAAATATTTTGATGTGATATTAGTTTGAGTTCAATCAATGGGCAAAACCTACGGCAGAAATACGACCTGTTTCTGAAAGAAAATATCTGGAATTCTTTCCTCTTTGAGCCTCAGGCTTTATGAGTCAAAATGAATTGACATTGTTGGAAAGTCAAGTCCAGTGGTGAGTTATGAGCTGAAGCTTTGTGTGGAGTCCATTTAACTAGAGGAAAAGGTCCTGGTTAAAAAGATCTCAGAGGTAATCAAATAATGCAGGAGCTTCTACTAATCTAACTTCTAATAATTATTAAGATTGCGACACCATTATCCATGACTGCTGCCTGCTTATGTCCTCTCAGGCTGTGGACTTCGAGTAAAAACGAGCTGTTTGTGTGGGGGTGGGATCAGAGGCATGTCTGACTTCATCTTCCACATAATTTGAAGTGTCATGTACGACCGGTAGTGGTGCATAGGAGTCGGTGAAGCAGTATCCTTCCAAAAGCTGCCAGAGGCAGTGAAAGCTAATGCAGTGATTTAGGTGCATTTGGAAGTTTCCATTATCAGTGTATGTGCACATTTTCTAACGTGCCGTTCCTCCTGGCCCCTAGTGCTTGTCGGCTCGAGCTGGATCAGTCTTTAGTTTGGAAAGTCATCTCACATGCAGTTCCTCCCTTTATGGCTTTAACTGTGCCCCTGCCGTCAACCCCTTTGTGCACCAACGCCTTTTCTATGGTAATCTCAAGCCAACCTGTCTTTTGCTGCAGTGTGATATCATAACGTGATGCAGTATAGCTGTTTGTCACAGTGAGAAAATGTGTTATTTGCATGTGGAAAAGATGTTTTCTCTTATTGAAATTAGCATTAAAATTCACATAGTTCTCTTCCTCTCTTGTCTTTTTTTCACTCTGTCCTTTTTATCTGCTTCCCCGTTTTTCCTTTTAAATGTTACTTTCCTGTTACAGTGACTACATCATTAAGGAGAAGACAGTGCTCCTTCAGAAGAAAGACAATGAAGGCTTTGGCTTTGTGCTTAGAGGAGCCAAAGGTAAGCAAGCTCTCTAAATTTTATACTGTGCAGGACTAATTTCCCAGAATCCACGTTTCTGAGCTCTTTTTTTAAGATTCAAATGACTCTACTCTTATGTACTCAGTGCGTACTGATGGTTGTCACTTCATGCAGCTCAGACTCCCATAGAGGAGTTCACTCCAACGCCAGCCTTCCCTGCGCTGCAGTACCTGGAGTCTGTGGATGAAGGGGGCGTGGCATGGAGAGCGGGCCTCAGGATGGGGGATTTCCTCATTGAGGTAAATTGGATTTCACACCCATACCCTGACTAATGACAGGCAGATATAAAAATGTAGCATTTCTTAAAGGAAAGTATGCTGCTTATAGTCACTGAAACAGGGAACAATTGAAGAAATAACAGACGTAGAGATACATGGACTAAACCTTGTAAATAACCTCATACAAGCGCTGTGTGATATTGTTGGATCTGTTAGAACTTATGTATTGTAAATAACTCTAACCTACTACCAAATCAAATTTTAGCTCAATATCTGTAAAAATGATTTAGTCAGTTGTGTGTAGCAGCCATTTGAATTTGAGTTGGATTTCAAAAGATAATCAATTGAAACATCCAAGGATTACTTTCTGTGAGTTTCATTACAATCTGTTCAGTGGTTTCTGAGATTTTTTTGCTAACAGGCAAACACACACATACCGGTAAAAATATTACTGCTTGCCTTTTTCCTTTCAGTGGTGGATCTTAACAAAATTTAGACAATTTTTACATTTGTGGTCATTTTTCCATGCGTCCAGACATTTATTCAGTAAATCAAAAATAAAAATCAAAAGCACTAAAATAATCCCCATCTGTTGTAGAAATTAAGTGATGCTCTCTGCTGCCCACACACTCAGTGTTCGTCCTATGAGGCTTTGGAGGGTAATACTGAAATATAAACCAAAAAAGGGGGGCTAAACAGGGTAAAGAGAATGTGGTGCAGTTAAAAAACACACACACACACACACACACACACACACACACACACACACACACACACACACACACACAC